CCCACGGTTATCGGAGTACCCCCTCCGTCAGTCGGCAGTCCAGGGCACTGTGTGTCCGAGTGGATCGCAACGCGATTTTGCGAATCCCACTCCACCACACCCGGACCACGAGGCCGTCATGCTCGACGTAACAACGGCCGACACGGGCTCCTTGATGAATTTTGTTCGGCATTCGATGATCAATCTCTATGGTTGGATGGAGTGGATCGTGCAGTCCAACCTCCCGCTTGCATTCTGCGAAGCCGTACGGCATGACGGTAGGCAGTTGCTTTAATGTTATCTGATTCTGATTCTGAGTATTTACTATGTACAGGTACACCAACCTCGACCCCATTTCCGGGGAGACGCTGCGTGCGGGTATGGAAGGCGTGACACGCGAGGTCGAGCGGAAGATCGCTGCTGAGCTTCCCGCGCGCTTTGGAGTTATGTTTGACGGGTGGACGCATGCTTCAGAGCATTACGTGGCCTGGTTTGCGTGCGACGAGGTCAACGGGGTACTAGTTACCCCGTTGTTGGCTATGGCTCCACTCATCAATGAGCCGGACGATAATCTCTCCGCCAGGTCGCACTACGAGTTCCTGGCGACGATGTTGCCAAGGGACTACGGTGTCCAGATCGACCAGTGCCGCTTCGTTGTCGGTGACAACTGCTCCGTCAACCGTTCGCTTGCTATCCTCATGAGGGTGCCGCTAGTGGGGTGTGCTAGCCACCGGTTGAACCGAGCAGTGCAACATTACCTACTTCAACATGAAGAAGATTTAGCAGCGGTACAGGCGCTGATGATCAAGCTAAAGACGCTCACTCAGTCTGCAAAACTGCGGTACGAAATTATTTTTTTATTTGTGTACTGACTTTTTTTAAAAACGAATTTATCTTTTTTTAGCCAAAAAAACTGAATTGCGGCCGGTAATTCGCCAGACGACTCGCTGGAGTTCAACTTTTGACATGGTAAAGCGCTATTTCGAGCTGTTGGAATTCTTGGATGTAGATGACGACGACATTATGAAGCTGTTGCCGTCGCCCGCATCAAACAAGAGGCTCCGAGCCTTATTTAAAGAGCTCAAGGACGTAGAATCCGTCGCCAAGGCTCTTCAAGGTCGCGACACGGATCTCCTGGATGTTCGTCAGTGGTTCGACGAGCTGATTGCTCTCAAACCACAGTTCGCGACATATCTCGGTACGTTAAGGCTAAATATTTCTTTATTGTAGAGCTAACGTATCGTATATTATGTGTAACCAGGACCTCAAGCTGAAATTGTTCACAGCCCTGACTTTGAGTCAGGGTGTGTCCGTGTTCTGAGGGGCCTACAGGACCGCCTAACGCGTGCGGAGGAGGCTGTCCTCGGTCCGTTCGTAAGACTGGCGGAGCACACG